TTTAGGGTTTAGGGTTTAGGGTTTAGGGTTTAGGGTTTAGGGTTTAGGGTTTAGGGTTTAGGGTTTAGGGTTTAGGGTTTAGGGTTTAGGGTTTGCGGGTTAGGGGCTTTTGGGGTTTAGGGGTTTTTGGGGGTGTAGGGTTTAGGGTGTAGGGTGTGCAAACGCGCGCAGCTCCTTTCGACAATCCAACACGGCTTGGCACCACGTTGGGTGAGACCGAGAAACCGAGAAATCATCTTGCCCACCATCTGCCCACCAGGGGCTTCAGCAAGACCAGGGAGCCACCGAGAGCCATCACGGAGCTAGTTAAGCTAGTTAAGCTACTTAAGCTACTTAAGCTACTTAAGCTACTTAAGCTAGTTAACACAAAGGTGTTTGGGTGGCCAGCGAGCGCGGTGAACACTTCGCAGGCTCATCTCTCATCGAAAGTGAGGCGAAGGGCGAAGGTGGCAACGCAAAGAAAGATCCGACTTTTGCCAAAGGCACGTGATCTTGCTCAGCGCTAGCCTTGCATGAAAAATTTGCTTCCAGGCGGACACAGGCGCAAAAACCATCACGACACAGGGGGGTTGTTTTTTTTGTAGCGGGAAAACCTGCGAAGAATTCAGAGAGAAGTGCCTGCTACACATCCGCTGAGTCTCAAACACAGCGAAGTGCAGCTGGCACACTGTGCCGCAACGGCTACCTATTTGTGCTGGGTCTCACGCAGGGCAGGAAGTGTCTGGGCCAACTCACAAAAGTCTCCTCAGACATCCCCAGACAGGGGGGAAGCCTTATGGTGGCACTTTATGTGCACTTTTTTGTGTGCACCATGTTCCACCACCTGCTCAGCCACCACCTTAACGTAAGCATTCTTCATGACCTTCTAATCCCACATGCATGTATTAGGGGGTCTACGGCTAACCCAACGTGCAGGAGTCCCTTGTAATGGGGACCCCAATAAGATAATTTCGGAAACACCCTAACCCAAACCCTAAACCCTCAACCCTAAACCCTAAACCCTAAACCCTTTCTTCATCCTCATGGCGCTACGGTGTACTGTTTGTGACATTTGCCTTCTCAGCTTCAGCTGCCGCCTTTTCTGAAGCTCGACTCCTGGAGGGGAACATCTCTCAGGTTTAGGGTTTAGGGTTTAGGGGTCAGGGTTCAGGGTTTAGGGTTTAGGGTTTAGGGTTCAGAGTTTAGGGTTTCCTTTCTGTAGAGTTTAGGGTTTAGGGTTTAGCGTTGGGGGGGGTCTACCCTGTACTTCAAAGTTCCACGTGTGTCTTCCGCGGAAGAGTATGCATCAGTGCCTGGCCCTGGTATGCGTCAAATACGAGCTGCAGCTCAGTAGCTAGTAGCAGATAGTAACTCTGTCCTGATATGGGGGTTGACGAGAATAAGGGACCCCTAAAATAAACCCGCAAAGTGGAATCCTTCATAATACGGACCCCAATGTGGTAGGCCCTAATACTCTCTCTCAGAAGGATTTTCAAGGAACCCCAGAGCTCCAGATGCAAAGGTGGCAACGCGCACAGTCTGCACCTGCAGGGCAGGGCTTAGGCTCTCTTTACGCGCCCCAGGGTCTGCCAAGCCGACGGGAGCCGTGAGTGCACACGACGCCTGCCTTCCCGACACCCACGCTCTTTTGATGCAAACTTGCACCCCAAACCGCGGCAGCTGTGTGGGTGGCCAATCGTGCCCTTTGAGATGATGACATTCCTGGAGCTGGAGTGCCGGAAGCTGCTGCACGACTGCACTCAATTCTGAAAGGAAGGTTGAAGTTGGGTTTGTCCTGCTCTCCGGCTGAGGTGACAGTGGCTGCTCCAATACAGGCGGCGGAACCTGTGGACACATGGCCGGCATCGGCACCTGCTCAAAAGCCATCAGAAAACCCCCCCGGCAGATGCCACCACCAAGGGAACTGACACGGCCTGTAGATGCGCTGCACTTGTTTGGACCATCTGTGACAGCAGTAGTCCTGCACCATGGCCTGCACGGAGTTGCGAAGCCACTTAGCGCAAGATATCACCTCCTACAGTAAAGTCAGAGGCAGAGTCTATCCCCCCAGCCTGAAAGACCTGGGTGGATTGGCGTATGTTCAGGCGTGCTCAGATGCAAAGGAATCCGTGAGCCAAGGCCATGCTCCTCACAGGCTGCTTGCTCAGGGGGCATGTCTCGCGACAGTGAGCACGCGTAGCACACCCACGGCTTCGTCCTGAGACATTTGGCTCAGATTCAATTGACCCAGAAGCTCCTGGGTCAAACAGGGACAATCTCACGAGCCCTCCTTCAGTTGAGACTGGAACCCTGTCGAAACACGTCAAACCCTTGCCCTACATTGAGTCGGCACAAGAGCCTGCATGTTGCGCGCGTTGTCCTCAGCAGCTGCCTCCCAACAGTCTTCCGCTTCAGCTTCAGCCCAAGTTGTAGGTCTCAAGTTTTGACTGCACATGACAGCGATGCATGCAGCAGCCTGCAGTGTTGCCATGTATCCATTGATGTTCCTGAGCTGCTACAAGATATGGCCAGATTGAGCACTGGAAAGAAAAAACTAAACTACAAGAAACACGGGGGGCAATACTAGAATTTGGATTCCAGGGAGCTCCGATGCGTCGAAGGTGGGATTCTCAGCTCGCAAAAGAGAAAAGGGGTTGTGGGATACATATGTATTTCTGTATATACATATATGCACATGCTACAGAACATATTCAGTTACTGTTGCGATTATCCTTGAGGTATGCACACAGATGATGCTGCTTGGCGGTGGAACTGAGGCGGAGTCCGACAGCTGCCGAAGTAGCTGCCCTCCGGAGAGATTTTGTGGAGTCTGTGGAGTGTGCTGGCGATTGCCCAGAGCTGGCGCACTCTGCATCTGCAGTCCGAGAGGTGGAGAAGTCTGCTGCTGAAATAGTGGGCGTATCTTCTGAAAATCGCTGGGGCTGTTCGGCGTCAGCTGTCGCTTTCGAACGTCCTGAGAAGCATGCGATCGAATGTCACTGACAATCAATCCTCTCCGCCATGGCCGCCCGTGTGAGGCGCCATTTTCCTTCATTCTCGGAGCGTTGATGAGGTTTAGGGTCCTGCTCAAGCGCTACAGCGCCGCACTGTGCCCAAAAGGTGAGCAGTTGAATCCCCTTTGCTTCTTTGCGGCCATGGAGCAACCTGCATCCCCCCATCACCACTGGCAGACCGCTCCCGCCAGGATCCTGTCACGTCGCAAAACCACTCAATGGGCAAAGAGCAGATGTTGCAGCAACCCTAAACCCTAAACCCTAAACCCGAAACCCTACGAATCTTTGCAGCCGAGATTCCAGACCCCAAGCTGTTGCAATTGGGCGTGGGTGTCGAAGCCGGGGACGCATCCGAGATTTTATCAGACACGGCCTTGGATTTTCGACTGCTTAAGCTGCAAAAGTCTTCCTGATGTGTGATACGCATATCTTCTCAGCATGCCATACCCTCATCTCAGCATTGGCGAGTTCTTGTCTCAACCCTGTGCTTCATTCCAGGCAGTATTGATCAAAGTTCCGGCAAAAGTGCTCATACGAACTGTCGATCTCTTGGTTATTGCTTTGCCTGCTGCTGTCATGATGGGTAAAGGTCCTTAGGCAAGCTTAGCAAGGCTGTACCCACGGCAAGCCACATCTATCGGAGTCGGAATCTTCGTGGCAATCTCCTGGATGAAGTTGACGATGACCATGCCAACGTGCTGATGCACCTGACGGTAAACCCTAAACCCTAAACCCCACCCCCCAAACCCGAAACCCGAAACCCTAAACCCTAAACCCTCATCCGCGGCTCACAAGACTGCTCGTCCTGTGCTTCACAGCCTTCGCTCTGCAATCCTGGCACGGGGCCTTGTCGATCATGCCAGTGAGGAAGGCGAACCTGAGCCAGAGCTGCCTATAATCCCTTAAAGGGCATATGTAGGGCCATATATAATCCCTTAAAGGGGATATATAGGGCCCCCTATATCATCCCTTAAAGGGTATATATAGGGCCTTAGATAATCCCTTCAAGGGGATATATAGGGCCCCTATATAATCCCTTAAAGGGTATATGTAGGGCCTTATAGAATCCCTTAAAGGGGATATAGAGGGCCCCTATATAATCCCTTAAAGGGTATATGTAGGGCCTTATAGAATCCCTTAAAGGGGATGTATAGGGCCCCCTATGTCATCCCCTAAAGGGTATATGTAGGGCCTTATAGAATCCCTTAAAGGGGATATATAGGGCCCCCTATGTCATCCCTTAAAGGGTATATGTAGGGCCTTGTATAATCCCTTAAAGGGGATATATAGGGCCCCTATATCATCCCTTAAAGGGTATATGTAGGGCCAAATTATAATCCCTTAAAGGGGATATATAGGGCCCCTATATCATCCCTTAAAGGGTATATATAGGGCCTTATATAATCCCTTAAAGGGTATATATAAGGCCCCTATATCATCCCTTAAAGGGTATATGTAGGGCCACTTTGCCAGGAATGTCAGGGCAACATCAGACAGGTTAGGATGCAGCGGGGGGGCCACTCCGAAGTGTTCCTGTGGCCCTGCATCACCGAGTTCCTCGGCCAAGTGGGGTTTAGGGTTTAGGTTTAGGGTTTAGGGTTCAGGGTTTAGGGTTTAGGGTTTAGAGTTTAGGGTTTAGGGTTTAGGGTTTAGGGTTTAGGGTTAAGGGCTTAGGGTTTAGGGTTTAGGGTCATTCAGAATCTGGACGCGATTCAGGAAACCAGGATGAAACTCCAGCGATTCAGGAATCTGCGGTTCAAGAAACTAGGCGATTGAGGAAACTGGCTTCACGTGATTCAGGAAACCACACGAGTTAGGAAATTGTCCATTTCAGGAAAGGAAGTGAGTAGGGTGGGGGGGGGGGTAGAGGGGCACAGAGCGGGGTAGAGGGGGCGTGGAGGCAGGGTAGAGGGGGCATGCGGGGAGGGCTGGGGGCGGATGGTAACATGTCATGTCAAGCGCATTTCACTCGTTGCGATTCCCGAATCGACGGTTTCCCGAATCGATCAGCGGTTTCCAGCTTCCCGGCTTCCGACTCCTCATTTGTCCAGTTGCCCGAGTCACGTGTTTCCCCATGAGTCCGCGCTTTTAGTTTCCCGAATCCGCGCTTTACGTTTTCCGAATCTGCATCTTCCAGTTTTCCCGAGTCACGTTTTTCCAGTTTTCGAATCCGCTGCTGCTTTTCTCAGTGATTTTCAGCTTCCAAACCCACGTGTTTTCAGTTTCCGAATCCTCTGCTGGCCTAAGCGAGAGCTGGCAATAGTTCAACAGCGATTGTATCTGATTCCTTCCAAGCAAAGCAAGCTTCGAACCTGAACAACCCTAACACCATGAATTGGGTGGGAAAGGGTTGGGTGTTCTTCGAGATGAGAGAAACCACCCGCAACAGCGTCAACAGCCAGCCCCAGACCCCAAACCTCTCTAAACCCCAAACCCTGAACCCTAAACCCCAAACCCTAAACCCTAAACCCCAAACCTAAAACCTAAACCCCTCCCCCGATATTCCAAGGGTCTCTGCAGCTTCCAAGGCTTGAAGTTCCGAGGTGCTTAGGATGGGCTCCTCGGCCAGCCTTCCAGAGGGTTTAGGGTTTGGAGTTTGGGTTTTAGGGTTTAGGGTTTAGGGGTTAAAGGGTTTCAGGGGTTTAAGGGTTTAGGGTTTAGGGTTTAGGGGTTTAGGGCTTTAGGGGTTAAAGGGTTTCAGGGGTTTAAGGGTTTAGGGTTTAGGGTTTAGGGGTTTAGGGGTTTTAAAGGGTTTAGGGGTTTGGGGGTTCAGAGGTTTTAAAGGGTTTAGGGGTTTAGGGGTTTCAGGGGTTTAAGGGGTTTAAGGGTTTAGAGGTTAGGGGTTTAGGGGTTTAGAGTTTAGGGGTTTAGGGGTTTTGGGGTTAGGGGTTTAGGGGTTTCGGGGTTTAGGGGTTTAGGGTTTAGGGGTTTAGGGGTTTTAGGGGTTTAGGGGTTTAGGGGTTTAGGGGTTTAGGGTTAGGGGTTTAGGGGTTTTAGGGGTTAGGGGTTTAGGGGTTTTAGGGGCTTCGGGGCTTAGGGGCTTAGGGGCTTAGGGGTTTAGGGGTTTAGGGTTTGGGGGTTTAGGGTTTAGGCTTATAGTCATCTCTTGAATAGATAGAATTTGGGCTTCGTTCGGGGGGGGTTATTTTTTCGGGGTTTTTGGCGTTTTCCCATGTTTTTCGAGAAACCCATACATAAAATCTTTGAACCTGTACAGAGAATATGTATGAGGAACCCATACATAGAATCTGTGAACTCATGCATCGAATATTTGCAGGAGCTTGCACCTGAAACCCGGGCAGCTTTTGGGCGCCCGTTGGGGTCTTGGTTCCTTAACCCTCGCGTCTTCTTCGGCTGGCTTCTAGGGGCCTCTCGCCTCTCTTCCTGTCAACCCACTTCTCTCAGCAGCCACGTCTGGGTGCTTCTCTTGGTCCCCTTGGGAGATATTCTACCTATCGTTTTGGAAGTTGGAAACGTTCTATCGATCGTTTTGGAAACGGTGTTTGTTTTTTGGGGATTTCAAATAATCTATCTACTTAAGGATGCCCATGGGGTTTCGGCCTCCTGGTCCAGGTTGAGGGTTCTGCGGGTTGGGGGACATCAGGATCTCAATTTTTTGGGTTTCGGCTTGGGCGATCTCAGGCTCAGCTGGCCTGAGGCTGGGCAGCAGTCCGTCAGCGCATGAGACCACTTCAGGCCTTCAGCAGACACAGGAGGACAGCGGTAACAATGGGTGTTTAGGGTTTACGGCTTAAGGCTTAACAAGAAGAACAATACTACTTGCTTTTGTTCTGCACAAATGCTGCCGAACAAGAATGCTCGTCTGGCTGTGCAATCAAGATTCTGCATGTGTGGCGCGGAGCTACCCACCAAGTACTGCCTGGAGCGTTTGACACCAGCACTTTGACGTTGGCTTCACCGTTCCCACATATGAACTCTTGCCAGACACTGCTCCAGCCTGCAGCCCTGAATCTTGGCAAACCGCAGTTGCGCTTTCACAGAGTGAAGTGCCTCTGGCCGTCCTTGCAGATTGCAGCCGATGGAGGACACGACACGCAACGGCAGAAGGGTGGGTCGTGTGGAAAGTGGGAAAGTGTCGCGCAAAAGCTGTGGCACACGCCGTACGTTTTGCTCACTGTGGCAGAGCCTGTCCTATGTGGAAGGAGATGAAGCCTCGTTCCCGGCCCAGCTGCTCCGCCATGTGAAGGAGCATCCTGCTTTTCTTACCCTAAACCCTAAACCTTAAACCCTAAACCCTAAACCCCTAACCCGAAACCCTAAACCCTAAACCCTAAACCCTGAACTAATATGGTCGAAAGCCTCAACTTCAGCTCGATCATCATGACCGGCTCTGGGCCTCTGGCAGAAGGGCAGAAGCAAGCAGTCAAGCAGTGCGAGTTACACTCAGAGTTTAGGGTTTAGGGTTTAGGGTTTAGGGTTTTAGGGTTTAGGGTTTAGGGTTTAGGGTTTAGGGTTTAGGGTTTAGGGTTTAGGGTTTAGGGTTTAGGGTTTAGGGTTTAGGGTTTAGGGTTCAGGGCAGCTTACCCCAAGGTGGTGGGCTTTTTGCATGAAGTTGATGCTGTGCGTGTGATGATGAAAGCCTTCAAACATGGTACGTGGCCCAACGCGCCTTTGAAGGCCTGCATCAGCAGGCCAATAAGGCCAATGGCATCTTCATTCAGCTTGCTGTAGCCACTGAACACCTCGCAGAGCGATGCCGTGAGGCTGAGCAAGCCGCGTAGCTGTAGCTCACTACGCATGAATCGGCCCTGGTGCGGCTGTGGACAACGCTTTCCACGCAGCACCAGCGTCCCAAATGTCCCAGCTTAGTCGCATCTGTTGCCGAAAGCTCCCTTTGTCCCTGCGCCCCACCACGTCCGCCCCGGTTAGAAGCTGTTTCAAGCCCTTGTTCCACATTGTTCCACAGTCCCATCAAGGCTCAAGATCTAAGATCCCAAACGCTTGACCCTTGCTTGGTGCCCGCTTGCCCTCTTGCATGTCCAGCAGTGCAAGGTCCGCAGGACAACAGTTCAACAGCTTCCTCCAAGATGACCCTGGTGCGTCACACCAGTTCAGCATCCTCGGCGACTGGGACAAGCCAAGCGGCCCGACCAGCCGGAAGGGAACCATGGTGTCTTGGTCCCCTAACCTTCCTACTCGTTTGCCCGCCGGCGCTGAATCAAAGCATTGAGCCTGCTGCGCAACATCGAAAGTGACATAAGCTTGCCGCCATGTCGACCACAGTGGGCCAAGAGACTACTGGCCTGCCCACAATTGTCCGGATCGCGCTACGCCGCTCCCTGGCGGAGTTTATCTCGCTCCCGAATTCCGATGTGATCCAGTGCCGGCCGGCACTTACCTGTCGAGGCACTTCGATACGCTGCCGTCGGAAGGCTTTCCCCACGCCATGCAGAATGGCGTGAGCTCGCTTGGAAAGTGGGAAGCCAATTGACTCAAGCCGAAGAAAACCCTGTGATTTTGAATCCTCAAGCCCGAAAGCTCGGTTCTTCGACTCGAGGCTAGGCCAGCCTCTACCCTAAGTAGCCCAGTTTGGGGCAAGTCGGCCCCCCAATTCCAGACCCTCGCAGCTGGAAAGGGTCTCTTCATGTCTCTTCATTGCTGTCTGACTGCTATCACGCAGCCTGCGATTTGTTCTGTCAAAGTCATGTGCAAATCGCGATGGGTTCGTCGCTTTGACTCAACCTGAACTGGGCAAAGCCAGCCTGAGGGCCCGCCTTTTAGCTGTTGTGCTAGCCTAATGCGTGCCTCTGACGGATGCAACATTGCTCAAATTGCCATAAAAAAAGCTGGCCAACTGCATATGTCGTGCTGGGCAGAGTCGAGGCTGACGTGTCTCACTGCACGACGACTTTTGCCCGAGCGGCAACGTCGAAATTGTCTTCCCGGTTCGCCTTTGGGACAAACCTGAGGTTGCCTGGGCACACACCGAATGTTCCACTTCACAACCAAAAAGGAAAAGGGATGAAAAGGGAAAGAGAGGAGTTGCATGTCGGCCGTCACTAAAGACTATTTCGTCTGGCTCTCTGCGTAAGGATGGAACATGGTTGGACTTCTACCCTTTTTTGATCCTACCCCAAACAGACATGCATAGTCGAATCTATGCTACATTCTCATTGAATGCACAGCGCAGCGCATACTCAAAAGCATGTTTTCTACGAGGTGCGACACTCAAGTCGCAAGCGCTGTGTCATGTCCGCCATTTGACACAGCCTCTTGTTGATGTCCTTAGATGCTCGACACACCCAGCTCCTTTAAGTAACGCTGCTGTGAACGTTAAACAACTTCAACAGCAGCTACCAAGCATTCAAGCCACACCAACAATGGCAAGGTGCTGCTCTGTGCTCTTCTTGCTGGGTGTAGGCCAAGCGTTCCTCGCGGATGCTTGAGTGATTTAAGGACAGCAGCGTCCCGCCAGATGCACGTTGCAACAACAGGCAACAACGTGTCTCGAGAGCACGGGTCCTGCAGTTTGACGAAACTTTCGTCGGTGGATTTGCCTGAGCAGAGGTAGCCCCTCGCTGTGCCCATTGAGCCGATGCTAGCGCTGTGCCAAGGAGCAGAACCAACGGCAAACATTCTCAGCTTCTTCGTTTCCACTCAGAAGCCAGCAGCTTGAGCCACGCCTCGAAGCCATGACGTCGTCCGAATTTACGGAAAGCTGAGAACAGCCGAGATTGTCGCCTATAATCCGCCGAGGCCTCGGGCCGGAGGTGTATAGGTTGTCAGAACAGGCACCCCCCTCCAAATCCTCCCCCCACACCCAAAACCATTTTTCGGACCCCTTTTTTTGCCTCAAATGGGTACCCCCCCTGGGAAACCGGGGGTCCGCAAGCGGACGGTTCGCCAGGACCAGAGGCAGTTGAAGCCCCCACCCCCCCACCCCCCCCCTGCACGAGCCGAGAAGTCTAAGCCTTAAACCTTAAGCCTCAAACCTTCAACGAACCCCCCCCCTTCCCGCTGCCCCCCTTCACCCCCACCCCCCCTACCCCTCCCCCCCTGAGGGGCCTGGCTCAACCCGACGATCACTCCAAGCCGAACCCTAAACCCAAAAAAACCCTAAACCCCAAAGCGTGAACCTTGAGCCCTAAGCCCTCAATCCCAAACTAACCCTCAACCCTAAACCCCAAACCATAAAACAATAAACCCGGAACCCTATAGACCCTAAACCCAACCCTTATTGCTTGGGGTCCAGCGACTTGGGCGCTGTGGAATCACCATGCTCACGCGGATGCGCTGGGCCGGGCCGAGGCGGGTCACGTAGCGGTAAAATTAAGAGTGGGCCGCTTAGCTACATCTCTCAAGAACACCAGGCACTCCCATGATTCCAGTGCCAAGGCACTCGCGCTGCAAGGCCTTGTTCAGCTCTTGCGCTGAGAGCAGCACTTGCATCTCGCTGTCTCTGTCTAGGGGAGTCTGTGATCTCGAGCTCCTGCAAAGGGCAAGCGTCCACCATGCCCCCCCCCCCCGCCCCTTTACAAAAGCAAGCGCCTCGCAGCACTGCCGGAACTGCCTGCAAGGAAGCACTGCCAAAGCACAGCATTCTATCACTCCATTCATGAGGCAAGTGACCAGAGTGCAGAGTTCATGCATCTTGCATTAGCCTCGAGCTAGGAGCCAGGGATGTTGCAAGGCGTCTAACATGGAGATGCGCCGGTTCCTTCGGAGCTACAACTGCCAAGTACAACCCTGGCACTTCAAGACACAGACCATGGGGGGGGAGGCTCAGAAGCGGGGCCCTCTTTTCAGACACCTTCGATCATAAGCACAGGACTCTGCTGGAAAAGGACCCGAGTGCCTGACCCCACCACCCAAGTATCTGAATGCCCTGAACCCTAAACCCTAAACCCTAAACCCTAAGCCAGCTGTGAGTCGGATCAGGCTCCATGAGCTGCTTGATAAGGTCTTGCGCATTTGTTGACAACAACTTCCACTTGGGGTGCCTCTCCTTGGTCTACGGCGTGTGTTGCCACGGAAGCTCAGACTCATGGGGATTTAGGGTTTAGGGTTTAGGGTTTAGGGTTTAGGGTTTGGGTTTGGGGTTTAGGGTTATCTCACACAAGCAAGTCACGTAGGAGCAACCTTTGCTGGTCTGTGGGAGAGCATTCATCAGGAGAGCATACAAGACCACTCCCACCGCAAAGGAATCCTTGGCTGAGCAATGTCATGTAGTCATTTCTTTAAAGTAGGGTCTGTTTTGGGGATTACTGTTTATTAGACGGCCCCCATGTATTCAGGGACCACAACTTTGAGAACTGACCACGTCAGAGTGATGCAACAGTAGCCACAAAGAGATACCGATGCTTTGCAGAGCACCAGCTTGAATGGATCGTAGGCCTCGTTGTCCTGACAAGATAAGCACGCATCACGTTTTGTCCTCAACCGAGGCGGGCACAGCAGTGCTCATGTAAGACGTAGACCATGCACACGGGATCGCGTTGTTTCTTTTCGATTGTGTCGCGTGGCCAAGTTGCTTCTACATACATGTTCTTGCGTGTGCATACACCGCGAGCGTGCACGAACTCTAGTATCTGACGTGCACTGGGTCACAGCGAAAAAGCGAGGAGCAAACTTCGCAGGGCCACGCTCCTACCGGCCGAGACGGTGGCAACCTCATGTATCCCAGAAAGCACGTGCAAAAAACTCCCCGACTGCACTCGCGATCTCGCGAAGAGGTTTACAAGTTACGAGGCTCTCTTATTGTTCGCCATGTGACATGAAAACGAGCACACATGTCCGCTTCCTGCGTGGCCTTCTGCACCTCTGGTGGGGTGTACACCGATGTTGTCGTCAATGTCTTGGCCTCAGGGATGATCCGGTGGAACTGGACTCTGCAGCTGCCGGACAAATCACCGCAGCACCAACAGCACGGCAGCTTTCCGCACTCCTTTTGCCACTTTATCGTAGAAAAAGGATCAAGGGAAGCAAAAGCAAACACCTGTAAAGACCTCGTAGTCACCCTCCTCATCGTGTACCCCACTTGTGGCTTCGGGTGACGCGACCTTCCTTCGCTGTGCTGCCTCTTAGCCTTCCGAAAGCACGCCGGCAGCCACGTCCACAGCTTCAAGTTGGGATGTTCCAGCTTATTACCGAACATTCCTTAATGTTGCACCCCGGTTTAGTATCGGCCCCCCGTTTTAAGACAAACTGGCCGAATTATTCAGGACATGCTGACTGTTTGGGACTCCCGCTATAAAGACAAACCGCCCCCGAAATCCGCAAATTTTTCTTTAGGATTTGGGGCTTGTTTCGGCCCGGAGGCTCCGGCTTACAGCCGGGCCTTATGATTTTAAAGCCGGACCTTGTGATTTTAAAGGCCGACCTCATCCATTCCAACCGGCCCGAAACCATTAGTTCCCTTTGAGAAACTATTTGAAAAATTGGTTTCGTTCAATCCGACAAGGGGGTGGTCACGGGGCCCCCTCCGACCCGCTATAATGGGACTGATATGGGACCCGCTTTAATGTCCAGGCCCCGGCCTGGAGGCTCCGAATTTGGAAAAAGCCTATGGATCCCTTTTAAATTCATGTATAAACTCATCCCGGACCCCTTTTCGATTCGCGCGGCTCCCTTTTAAATTCATATAAGCTCATCCCTTTTAGATTCATACGGATCCCTTTTAAATCTATCTAAACTCCTCCCTATTAAAATCATATAAAATCCGGGCCCGTTTATTCAGGACCCCATCCACCCCCGCGACTGTTCAGGGGGGGGGGGGGGCCCCACACTAAACCGGGTGCAACATTAATAAGGATTTCGAATAGAGGGCACTAGAAACCCTATTCAGGGCTGTTGACTCTCAAACCCTAAACCTAAAATCCACACACCCAACCAGACAGCATCGCAGAGGATTCAAAGAGAGATCAGATCTGAGAGTCGCACGACGCTCCGCATCCTCTCGTGAGATTGGTCGTGCATCACTGCCTCCACACAATTCATGGCAGGCGTTCCGGAGGGCTTAGGGCCATTTTTTCTGCTGCAAGCACATTCCATCTGCTGCTCTTTTTTTGCCATCATGAGAAACTGAAAAATTAAGCCCAGGACCTGGCCAAAATCAATGAGCTTCACCACTAACGGTTGGCGGCTGGCCACCATGAGATTCTCAAGCTTGATGTCCTTAGATTGTTTGTGCACCACATCTCGGACAACTCTGACAACTGGCACTGGCGGCACTGGCAAGATCCATACCCAGCTAGGAAGTGTCGGAACTAGCTTTGGACAGATCGAGTTGAGTAGCTCGATGTGCAACCCCTCGACGGTGGCAATGTACAACCGCCATGATCACCTGCGTCAGCGCCTGACAGCAGCTCGTGATGAGCGGAGCAAAACACACCGAAGATCCGAGTCTTGTGCCTCTCGGGCGTCCCGCTCCGAGAAAGGCTGCTGCCGACGTCGCAACATTTCGGAAAAAAGATCGTTGCACTCAAGCAGCTGCCTCGGTAAATCAGCGGGTCCTTCAGAAGAGATGCCCAGAGTCCCTAGCGGCCACCTAATGCAAGTAAGATGCATAGAGATGTAAATTCGCAGGGTCTGCTGCGAAACAGCAGCAGACCGTAGCTGGACAATGTTGGGATGGCCGCCGAGACAACCAAGAATCTCAGCTTCCTGCAGCATTCTCCTTGGCAGACGGTCGCTACGTCACTGACAGATCCAACGGTACAACGTAAGTACATCCTTGGCTGTCCAAGGGATTGAACCAAGCGGTCTCAGAACGACATGCAGTTACGCTGCAGCTGCAACCACTCCACGCGATGACAGGGTGAGATGAGAGCGAGAGAGGGAAGTGAGATAGGAGCGAGGAGGGAGTTCTCGTTTTCGCAAGCTAAGTCCCAAGCCTCAGAACGACTTGCTGTGAGCAGTTGGTCATCATGGCAATCCTCTCCTTAAGCTACACTGGCAGGAAGAAAACTGCTTGGTATGGTTCGACACTAATTATCCAGCAAGGCTGCGTACAATTTGGCTCCATTCAAAATGCAGGCACGCCTGCCCCCATGAACCCTCAAGATCCGTCACCTATGATTCCCATCTGCACACTTGCAAGGCATTTGTTACGTTCCTTGGCCCGTACAAAGGATCAAGAATCAAGTGTGCGCCGACGCACTGCAGGATGAGTCCTAAACGTCCTACACCCGGGAGGGCCAGGGTTTCAGGCAGGTTCTCCAAGCCCCTTCAGATTCTTTTGTCCTTAAAATTCTTTCTCATGGTCCGAGCTGCTGTACTGAGGACTTTGACGGCCACAGACTGACCGTCACAAAGACATTTGTAGACAGACCCAAAGCTGCCTTCTCCTGTAGCAGAGGGACAAGGGTGACAACGGCTGGGTTTCCGAGTACAACCCTCACACCAGCACAGCAGGGCCTAGAAGACCTTCTATTTGAAAGCGCTCACCGTTGATCGTGAAGCCATCCTGCCATCAGGTCAAGCCCTCAACAAAGGCAGGTCTACACGGACTTGGCAATTTTGCAACCACCCGCAGAATACCCGCAGCCCACGCGCAACGCTTGCGACAGCTCTTGTCCTCGGTCTCCTCGGTGGCCCAGGTGAACGCGCCGCCCAGCTGTAGCTGCAGACGTTGGAGCCATTCCTGGCTGCATCATCATCTTACAAGATTAGACAAGCACAAGGAATTGACAAAGAAAGGTATGTGCGTGATGCTCCGTCTATGCCCATCCATGGCCGATGCCAGCGGCCCACGCCAGCTGCTCATGCGGACAAGTTGCCGTGATTGCGTCCACGCTGTCAGCGTCATGGCTTTCGATGACACCAGACACCCTCAGTGCCTTGATGACCTCTCGCAGATGGGTCACAGCACAAGCTCAGTCGGCGAGCACAGGACGTGACGCCGGGTGCTACAAGCGTCCCATGCGTCCCAAAGCACAACACAGCCAAACCCTGCCTGCGTGGGGTGAGCCACAAACTGTGGTTGTGGGCAAGCTGCCGGCTCACTCATCTACCCATTGCTCTCGGCCAAAAAGAGCCCCGCTCTTGGCACAACGTTTCTGCAAAGCTACAGCTGACGTCTTGGAAGCTTTGAGGCGCTTGCAGCTAGCTGCCGTGTTGCCATGCTGCTTACCAGGTTGTTAAGGATACTAAAACACTGAGACTGAGGTCTTGTGCCAGAGTGGCAGCGGAGCGCTGCAGATCGCGCCACGTCCATCTCTACACTTCGCAGCTTTGGTCAATCACAAGGCAAGCCCACACTCTTGACTGTGCAGAACTCAGAAGCTACTCCTTCCGCTGCATACTGCTGGGCTACACAGCTTTGCCCTGGAACTACAGGTGGGTTGATGTGGTTTGCCCTGGGCACGCTGCGGCTGCCATTGTAAGCCGTATCTAAGTCCAAACGAAGGCGCTTGAAGTGCACGGAACAAGCGGAACATTAAGCAGAACTCTCCAACAGTGCTACTTGGAGGTTCATGGTACTTATGGACTACTTCTAACTGTACTTATAACCCACTTATAAGCCCCCTAAGTACGCTAATATGGTTGCCATGAACCTCCAAGTAGAGCCTAAACCCTGAACCCTAAACCCTAAACCCGAAACAGAGTACAAGAGGCAAGTTGCTGAGCACCGTGCACCATGCAGCCGACTCAAAGCTTCTGCCAGCTGTGGTAGTGGCAGCTCTTCTCCTGGTTTAGGGTTAAGGGTTTAGGGTTCAGGGTTCAGGGTTCAGGGTTCAGGGTTTAGGGTTTAGGGTTTAGGGTTTAGGGTTTAGGGTTTAGGGTTTAGGGCTTACTCTTCTCCTGGAAAGCATCTTGAGCTCATGATGCATTGTGAACATGATTCATGTTATCCTTACGGCTACTATTGATTCTTGTTGTTCTCATTTGGTAATACCATCAATACTCTTGACATACAAAAGCCGCAAAATAGCCTCAAGTCCTCGAAAGCCTCTCAACAAGCAGCTGGTCGTCACTGGGTCGCTGGCTCACAGCCATGGAGAAGAGCTCATGCACGGATGGAGCCTCTCCTGCAAGGCCGCCGAGATGCTCATGGCGCAGCGAAGTTCAGCATCCGACGTACGACGTATGCGTGACATCGATGGCCTGGTGGCGCCGGTTCAGAACCCGACCGTGGAAAGACTCGCTCGAAGGAACTTTTGCCTCATATGGGTGCAAACAAGACCATGGAGGAAGAGGGCCGCATGACACACGAAAGCATGGTAGGGAACCTCGCGACATTGCGCGCGGCAATACGACAGGCGTGTGGGACGGTCTACGGCGAAGGGTGAAATCTAGAAGTGTCGGCACATGTGAGGGCTTTCGGCAACATGCGAAGTGACGCTATGGCCTGGGCTTCATCTTTTCCCTACATGATTTTGTCCGTTTGGGCAAATATCACCCATATCACTGCAACCAGGAAGATGCGGAAATATGCCAACAGTCAGAAAAGGCGGCAAGCTGCACAGAATCAACACATGCCACTGCATCACAATCGGGCAGCGGGCAACAGCAACAAGACTTATACTGAACAAACACACCACCCTACAGCGAATGAATGAACAAAGGTGGGTTTGCTACATTTTGACGCGGCAGAAGCACAAAGCCGCAAGCAAGAGCCAGTCGTCTTTTCTCAATCTGCAGCTTCGCTGCTTCGTTCGCAGCCCTACGAAGCATTGTGCTCCACATGACTGCAGTGCTTTGCTGCATCCATAGGAGAACATGAATTTTGAGATGCCATCACCAAAGACTCAAAGCCAAAGCACCGAAACCCGAAGCATGTTGACCGCAACCTCCTGTGCACTTCCTGAAACACCACGTCTGTCGTGAAACCTCTTGCCTCTTCTCTGTCGAGATCAGCCCAGCGAAGTGCAAAGAAGACAAAAAGGCAGGTTGCTCAGGGCCCCAATAACCTTTCGGCTGAGCTGCTCTCAAGGTGGCTGAGGCAGAGCCTCTTCTGCATGCACCGCATATGTTTTGCGCCGCATGGTTCTTGAATTACATTGCAGTGCATCCCAGAACCTTCCTCTCACGTCTTCAGAGGCAAGGCTCCTGGATGGAACTCTTGGAGCAAAGACCAAGAGCATCGAAAGGAAACTGAATTCCTCGTGTCAACAGAGAGCACCTCTACTTCATCAAGCCGTGGTAATGGATGTGGTGATGATGTGTCACCACGGAGACACCGGGCTTTCCGTGAAAATAATGGGCGCTGCCAAAGGCACCCAAGCCCAAGGCGCCCGAGCCCAGGCCGCCCGCGTAGCCGTGTGCGCATCCGAGTTGGTACTTATGGCAGCAGAAATCCTTCTTGTGTCTGGACCAACCACGCCGCCAATTGTCAAACCCTGCAACACAGTCAAAGGGTTCTGGATGATGATGGAACGGGACATCACACCCAAGCTTGTATTTTCTGCAGCAGAACCTTTTCTTCTTGCCTGACCAACCTTTCCGCCACCTGTCAAACCCTGCCGTGCAATCGAAGCGATCTTGAGTGATGACATGATCACCGTGATCGCCGTGATCAGCGTCGTCGCCGTCGTCACCCTCACATCCGAGCCCATACTTGTGGCAGCAGTACTGCTTCTTGCCGTCCGACCATAAGTCACGCCAGTTGCCGTACCCCGCTATACAGTCGTGCGCCGGAAGATGCTCCGAGCCATGTTCGCATCCAAGGTGATGCTTCTTGCAGCAGTGGGCCTTCTTGTTGTCCTCGGATGAAACGCTTGTTTTCAGAGCCGACAGCTACCAAGAGTACAAGAGCACTGCAAGCACTTTGCGCAGACAAGGGTCAGACCAACCAGCATGCCAGTTTGCCAAGCCAGCTTGGCAGTCAAATGGCTCGGAGACAGGGCAACCACGTCCATAGCTGTTGCAGCACCACTCCCTTAGCTGGATATGAGTGGCTCAAGTAGGCTTAGCTGGAACATTGTGCACCTGTAACTTGCTGTTCATCCTATGTGCTCCTACATGCCAGGTTGCTGTTTCGCAGCGGTCCATAGATGCTCCCAGTGTTCATAGCCAACTTTGCAATCAACACCCTCCGGGAGCGCGGTTGTGGTCCTCTACAACATGTTTAGGGTTTAGGATTTAGGGTTTAGGGTTTAGGGTTTAGGGTTTAGGGTATAGGGTATAGGGTATAGGGTTTAGGGTTTAGGGTTTAGGGTTTAGGGTTTAGGGTTTAGGGTTTAGGGACCCGGAAAATTCTAATCATGGTGCTCCTGCAGCCATAGTGAAAGGTGTGGCAACAGTAGTCCCGCTCGGCCCCAGACCTTAGTGTATGCGACACCATTCAGCTCAGACTGCAATCCTCGAAACTCGACGGCAAGCGACCACTTGGGTTCTCTCGATCGCTTGCAGGTGAAGTGTTCTGGACAACCCCTTTTCTCCTTTGCGCAGCACCTCAGAAAGGCAAATGCACCCTGCTGATCCGATATGGGTCACATGCCTTATTCATGGTCACTGCAAGCTGCAAAGCTCTCTTTGCCGCTTTGAGGCCATTCTCGCTTCTCTGGGGACCATCCCCTGACCATGTGCAAGCATGACTTGGGATGTTCCCCCCTATACTAACAGGTCCTTAACAGGATTATAGCACCCCCTACTGGAATCCCTATTATTAAGCACTGTTAGTATAAGGAGGAACATCCCAACACAGAACTCAACAGACCCCTATCCTCGGGGCGAGCCTTCGCCAGTTAAAGAAGCCGGCATTGCAGTCGAAATGGCCGGCAGGGACAGAATCCGCACAGCCCTTCTTCTCGTGGTGACAACACCAGGCCTGAAGCCCAAGAGCTGGCAGTTTAGGGTTTAGGGTTGAGGGTTTGGGGTTTAGGGTTCAGGGTTCAGGGTTTAGGGTTTAGGGTTTAGGGTTTAGGGTTTAGGGTTTAGGGTTTAGGGTTTAGGGTTTAGGGTTTAGGGCGCCCGTACAATGTACTGGTAGAATGTGACAATCGGAGCCCCGAGCTCGCCTTCTTGTACTTGGACCAGACATTCACAAGCCCGGCCTTGGAACCAGAAACAAAAGGTTTAGGGTTTAGGGTTTAGGGTTTAGGGTTTAGGGTTTAGGGTTTAGGGCTTAGGGTTTAAGGTTTAGGGCTTAGGGTTTAGGGTTTAGGGTTTAGGGTTTAGGGTTTAGGGTTTAGGGTTTAGGGTTTAGGGTTTAGGGTTTAGGGTTTAGGGTTTAGGGTTTAGGGTTTAGGGTTTAGGGTTTAGGGTTTAGGGTTTAGGGTTTAGGGTTTAGGGTTTAGGGTTTAGGGTTTGGGGGCACCCCCGTGTATACCAAACAGAAATTTTGTTTTTACAAACAGGAACCCGAAACAGAGGATGCCCCTGTTTTCGGAACCCCCAAACGGCGCACGGAGATCTCTACAGCCTGACAAAATCGAGTAGGGCGCGCACTTCACAATCGTAAGCCTTCGTGGTAACATCCTGTCGGCAGTGGCATTCGCATCTACCCGGGATCCTCTGCGCAATCTAGAGCTGGTGTCCACATGCCGCATCTGTCTTCCGCAAGGAACCCACCCGCCCGCCTTGTCACAGCCGCGATGGTAGTGGGTACAGCACCAGCTCTTCTTGCCTGATATTGGGGAAAAGGGATGTCACTGCCACCAAATGCACATATCCGACTGTCCACCAAGTGTTAGGAGATGCAAGCACGTGCACATGTGGCTCTGCGCTGTGACACCACGGCCTTCGGCCCAGCCGCGTATGTCCGCACTGCTGCCCTGCAACAGCTCGGATGGAGATGGTTTGCAAAGTGTCATGCTGAAGTTCGCCCACACTCCCCAAGTGCCGAGAACCCTAAGCGCTAATTACGGACTCCTGCGCGTGGACTTCAATCACCCTTGATCTCGGGACGACTACAATGCTTGACTGCGATGCGGTGTGCTTAAGCCCAACTCCGTGTGGGTTCTACTACCTGGGGGCCCGCTGAAACAAGGATCCCTGGCTCAGACCGTACTCGAACCCCGAACCCCTTAACCCTAAACCCTCAACCACAAAAACACCGGGGTGTTGGCGGGCTTATTGATAAGGGTTCGCTGACTTCCGCATCCCGGTGGCCGACTGACACCATTCTGCATCTTGTAACACGAGCAAAGACTGTCCACTGGTTCGAGTTCAGAAAATGGCTCATTCTCATGCGGCCGTTGGCGGATTGCTGTTGGTCTGGCTCCCGTCTGATTGGTGTTGCTAACGCGTGCAGGCTAGCAATACGGAACCTCATGTCTGCATGCAGAACGCTGCATGTATACTTCTTAACAAACTTCCCATCCTAGATCCTGTCACAATGTGTCCATGTGAAGCAAACAGGATTCAACGCCACGGGAAGGCTGATTCATTTGCAGCAGTTGCGTGGCCTGGCAAGAGTAGGGTGCAGAGTAGTGCGGACAGCCCACACCATAGCGAAGGCAGCACCAATCCCGCCTGTCCTGCGCAACTTGCCACTTACTCGCAGTTGAAGCTCACAGATTGCTGAACAGAAAACCCAGATTGCTGTGGCATTTCTGCAGTACATGAAGAGCTCTAGCCCGTCCTTCGCCCAAGTGCTCGGCTTGTTCACAGTGCTGGTGGCGCAACTGTAGGTCGTTGGACATCCCTGAATCAGGCAGAAGCCGAACAGCGACAACGAATGTGCCACCGGATTCCCTTGACTGCATGAACTCCTTGGTCACACAGCGCAGGCAACATTCTTAAGTTTTGCAACACAGGATGAGCTCTTTCCCACATCCTGGAGCTGACATCCATCAACATTCATGTGCACCTTGAGCTGGCCGGCTCTTCTAATCTTCGGTGCACAATGACCGGTGCTAAATCACAGAGGGGGGGAGGGGGAGCTTGGATCTGCGCGCACGTTTGGTCCTGTCCCCGGTGCCCGCTATTTGTCGATCTTCAGAAGTGGCTGAAATAGGCATACGAAGCCTTTGCATGGACGTATGCACATCACTATAACACTTTGCCCGACGAAATGACTGGTAGAAAGAAAAACGCCCTTGTCAGGGGAAAAACGCCCTTGTCAGGCGAAGCCGTGACGTTCGTGCGTTGTAATTCTCTTCCATTCCTGTGGATGCGACCATTGTTGAAACTATCCCTTAAACGAACTTGGTTGGCATCGCACTTTCATCCTTGTCTCAGGGCTTGTGCTAATCATTCATCCTATGGATCAACTCATCCCAGCAGGTTCGGCGCACTGCGGCAATCAGGGGCCTTGCCCTGCGTCTTGCAGCACCAGGACTTCTTCTTCTCGCTCCACTTGTCTTGCCAGTCAGACAAGTCAACCTGGCACTCCAACTCCAGAACCCTTCAAAGATTACCCTGTTACTAGATGCGGTACTATATTGCTATATAGCTGTATTCCTATATTACCATATTACTATAGTACCATACTACCATATTACTATATTGCTATATCACTATATTACTATATGTCTATATTACGATTGCTATATGTCTATATTACTTTGTTACTATATTGCTATAATACTATACTACGAAATGACGATATGACAATATGACTATATGAGTTGAAGGTGCTGCTTGTTGGCAAGCCTGGCTTTCAGTTCCAGGGAAGAGAGTCCCGCTTAGCTGTACGGCCAACAACCGGCTTTTCGGGTTTAGGGTTTAGGGTTGAGGGTTTAGGGTTTAGGATTTAGGGTTTAGGGTTTAGGGTTTAGGGTTTAGGGTTTAGGGTTTAGGGTTTAACGGACGACGGACGGCATGAACAAGATTATTAGGTAAAGGACCCGGAAAATTCAACACTGGATTGAAGCCAGGCCACTGCGCAGTTGAAGTTCATCACTTTACATCCCATTTGGAAATGAGCACAGCAGTATTCCCTTTTGGCAGCAGACCACGTCTTGTACGTGGTCTCGAAGCCTCGCAGAACACTCACAGCACATGTTGGGTTACATACACATCATTGCACTTTCCCTGCAACCATAGAGGTGGTGAATCCAGCCTTCACGGCAATGATAGACCTGACAATAAAGACTGTTGCATGATGACAGCAGAAGTCCATTGAATGCACACATGCAGGTGTTTGGATCTTTCGTTGCTTCTAGGGCAAGGACGGGATCCGCTGCTCCAGACTCAGCTTTCTCGGCCTTTAGTGTCAAGGTTCAAAGCTTCAGAAGCCTTATCCTACGGATTCTGACAAATCCCTTGCAGGAAAGACGAGCCACTCAAGGAAATACGAGCAAGAGCCGGTGCACCAGCAAGGAAGCTATCCAACTTGCTTCAGGAGACATCTTCAAGCTCCGTCAACATGCGCCATGTGCTGTTGGTCAAGGCTGGACAGGTTGATCCTCACCACGTCTTAAGGATCCAGCCGACTCTGCGCAGGCGATTCCAGGAATGCCGCAGCACCAACTGCGCTTCTCCGAGTCCCACATCTGTCCAACAAACAAAGAAGCTCTCCGAAGCTGGCACCCTCCAGAGCAGACATGTGCAGACTGCCTCAGGCTGGCCAGTGCAGTCCAGGGGGACGTCCGACACCTGCAAGGGTTGCTGCACACGGCAAAGTTTCGAATAATTTCCACAGCGCATGCCTCATCACCACCGCCACCAGAAATCGCATGATCCTTGTGTCACAGGAAATTTTGCGGCTCCTTCGGTGTAGCAACCCTGGCGTGTACAATATCAGCTCAGATGGGATGATGCTGACAGTGGCAGAGAAGTCATGAACCACTCTAAGTGAGCCGTCCAAGCGTCGACCATACCGCCTTCACCGGAGTCATCGACCTTGCTCTTGCGCAGTTCTCACATGCCCCCCGTACCCTGTAGTCAGCTCTCTAAAACTTGGTCCCGTTTCGGGGTGCCCTAAATAGCGGCCGCCTTGGAATAAGGACCCTCAGAAGGAAACATATTCTAGAGAAGTGACCATGAAACGGAACCTCTCATCCAAACTCAGTACGTATCATCCGTCCAAGTCTCCATGTCATCAGGCAGGACCGATCCAGCATCACTCGCACCCTCAAGCTCGCCAGTGTCTGTCACATCTTGCAGGTCCTTACGCTGCAGCCATGAGGTTACACGCAAACCTTTTCCAAGCGGCACGTCACCTGTCATTCCGTGTTCCATGACAGTTTTCAAGCTACTCTTCATGAGGGACGTTGCGCAGTAACTTGTTGTAAGACCAGACTACATGGCCAGGTTTGTTCAAGCAAGTAAGATGCTTTCCTCCACTTTCGCATGTGAGGCTGTCGTGATTCCCCCGAACATACTGAAGTTTCCAAACACATGGCATGCGGTTGACACTGGACACATCCCAGCGCCCGCTGAGACTTGCTTCATGAAGGCTGCACATGAGATTGTAGATATGAACAGACAGTCTGCTCAAGTGGAGTTTGATGTCGTGAGTCTTCTGCGGGCTTGAACTTAAGATGTGTTCCGTTTGCAGCTATTCTTCCAGCTACCTGAATCTCTTACCCCCGAATCTACGCGAGCCTCTTTTCTCAGGAGCCTCGGGGGTCTGAGCAATGTGCTACGGAACCTCTCATCCAAACTCAATACGTATCATCCGTCCGAGTCTCCATGTCATCAGGCAGGACCGATCCATCATCACTTGCACCCTCAGCCATGTCTGTCACATCCGCCATGCCTTGCAGGTCCTTACTTTGCAGCCATGCAGTTGCACGCAAAATCTTTTCCAAGCGGCACGACACCTCTCATTCCGTGTTCCATGACTGCTTTCAAGCTACTCTTCATGAGGTACGTTGCGCAGTAACTTTGTTGCAAGAGTGGTTTGTTCAAGGAAATAGAACGATTTCCGCCCCTTTCGCATTTAAGGCTGTTTGATGCACGTCGTCTGTTGCAGTTGAGCATGGCACTTCGTGACTCCCCCAAACATACTGATGCGTGCTGGTTTCCAAACGCGTGTCGACCCAACCCTCTGAGACTTGCTTCATGAAGCCTGCATGATAAGATTGTAGATATAAAACGACAAGCTGCACAAGTCCAGTACTGGCCGCACACTAGCCTCGCGACTTTTTAGCTTCTGTGAGATTTAGCCTCTGCGACATGTCCGTGCAAGAGCTGCACGTTACTGGTGAGTCTGATGTCGTGAGTCTTTTGCGGGGTTGACGTAGATGCTGAATTTAAGATGTGTTCCGTTTGCAGCTATTCTTCCAGCTACCTGAATCTCTTATCCCCGAATCTACGCGAGCCTCTTTTCTCAGGAGCCTCGGGGGTCTGAGCAATGTGCTACGGAACCTCTCATCCAAACTCAATACGTATCATCCGTCCGAGTCTCCATGTCATCAGGCAGGACCGATCCATCATCACTTGCACCCTCAGCCATGTCTGTCACATCCGCCATGCCTTGCAGGTCCTTACTTTGCAGCCATGCGGTTGCACGCAAAATCTTTTCCAAGCGGCACGACACCTCTCATTCCGTGTTCCATGACGGCTTTCAAGCTACTCTTCATGAGGGACGTTGCACAGTAACTTTGTTGTAAGACCAGACCACTTGGACAGGTTTGTTCAAGGAAATAAAACGTTTTCCGCGCCTTTTGCATTTAAGGCTGTTTGATGCACGTCGTCTGTTGCAGTTGAGCATGGCGCTTCGTGACTCCCCCAAACATACTGATGCGTGCTGGTTTCCAAACGCATGGCATGCGTTTGACACCCGACACGTCGTCCCAACGCCCGCTGAGACTTGCTTCATGAAGCCTGCATGATGAGATTGTAGATATAAAACGACAAGCTGCACAAGTCCAGTACTGGCCGCACACTAGCCTCTGCGACTTTTTAGCTTCTGTGAGATTTAGCCTCTGCGACATGTCCGTGCAAGAGCTGCACGTTGCTGGTGAGTCTGATGTCGTGAGTCTTTTGCGGGGTTGACGTAGATGCTGAATTTAAGATGTGTTATTCTTCCAGCTACCTGAATCTCTTACCCCCGAATCTACGCGAGCCTCTTCTTCTCAGGAGCCTCGGGGGTCTGAGCAATGTGCTACGGAACCTCTCATCCAAACTCAATACGTGTCATCCGTCCGAGTCTCCATGTCATCAGGCAGGACCGATCCATCATCACTTGCACCCTCGGCAGTGTCTGTCACATCCGCCATGCCTTGCAGGTCCTTACTTTGCAGCCATGCGGTTGCACGCAAAATCTTTTCCAAGCGGCACGACACCTCTCATTCCGTGTTCCATGACTGCTTTCAAGCTACTCTTCATGAGGGACGTTGCGCACAAATCTTTCCTGTAAGGCCGGACCACTTGGCCAGGTTTGTTCAAGGAAATAAAACGTTTTCCGCGCCTTTTGCATTTAAGGCTGTTTGATGCACGTCGTCTGTTGCAGTTGAGCATGGCGCTTCGTGACTCCCCCAAACATACGTATGCGTGCTGGTTTCCAAACGCATGGCATGCGTTTGACACTCGACACGTCGTCCCAACGCCCGCTGAGACTTGCTTCATGAAGCCTGCATGATGAGATTGTAGATATAAAACGACAAGCTGCACAAGTCCAGTACTGGCCGCACACTAGCCTCTGCGACTTTTTAGCTTCTGTGAGATTTAGCCTCTGCGACATGTCCGTGCAAGAGCTGCACGTTACTGGTGAGTCTGATGTCGTGAGTCTTTTGCGGGGTTGACGTAGATGCTGAATTTAAGATGTGTTCCGTTTGCAGCTATTCTTCCAGCTACCTGAATCTCTTATCCCCGAATCTACGCGAGCCTCTTTTCTCAGGAGCCTCGGGGGTCTGAGCAATGTGCTACGGAACCTCTCATCCAAACTCAATACGTACGTCCAAGTCTCCATGTCATCAGGCAGGACCGATCCATCATCACTTGCACCCTCGGCAGTGTCTGTCACATCCGCCATGCCTTGCAGGTCCTTACTTTGCAGCCATGCGGTTGCACGCAAAATCTTTTCCAAGCGGCACGACACCTCTCATTCCGTTTTCCATGATTGTTTTCAAGCTACTCTTCATGAGGGACGTTGCACAGTAACTTTGTTGTAAGACCAGACCACTTGGACAGGTTTGTTCAAGGAAATAAAACGTTTTCCGCGCCTTTTGCAGTTAAGGCTTGCAGTGAGCATGGCGCTTCGTGACTCCCCCAAACATACTGATGCGTGCTGGTTTCCAAACACATGGCATGCGGTTGACACTCGACACGTCGTCCCAACGCCCGCTGAGACTTGCTTCATGAAGCCTGCAGTATGAGATTGTAGATAGAAAAAGACAAACTGCACAAGTCCAGTACTGGCCGCACACTCGCCTCTGTGAAGTTTAGCCTCCGTGATATTCCCGTGCAAGAGCTGCACGTTACTGGTGAGTCTGATGTCGTGAGTCTTTTGCGGGGTTGACGTAGATGCTTAACTTAAGATGTGTTCCACAGGGTTTCGGGTTCGGGGTTTAGGGTTTAGGGTTTTGGATGGTTCTAGGGTTAAGGGTTTAGGGCGCCCTACTCGGGGGCCTAGAACACAGTAGGGGAGTCAAGGCTTTCAGGGACTATTGGGGCTACTATTGGGGCTGACTACTGACCAATGCAGGATTGCTCCATTCAGGTCTTGCCTCTGGCGGTTTACGGTTCAGGGCTGGGGGTCACGACACCAAGCCCCAAGCCCTGAACCCTAAACCCAAGTCACCGCCAATGATGGCCTCCTCGGTTACCTAAAGCCCAGAAGACCCACAAGATTGAAAAGGCCGAAAGCCACAGCAACCCTCGATCAACCCTAAACCTGACCTAAACCCAATAACACCTGCAACCCGAGAACCAAAATCACGTGTAACCCTCGAACCCCCTAATCCCTTCACCCTGAAACCCCCCAAAACAACCCTAAACCCTAAACCCTAAGCCCCAAGCCCGGTAAGAGTTTTGTTATTGTCGTGGGTTTTTTTTGTTGCGGTTGCAGGGCGCTTTGCTTTTTACTGTGG